TGTCCCATTCACTTTCAATGTATGTAAAAAGAGCACACAGGGCTTTCCTCAAAACATCTCCCTTAGAAGAAAGTCATACACATTTGGAACGACATGAGGGTGAGCAAATGATGACGTAATTTTCATTCCGAGTGAACTATTCTTTGAAGTAGCATACTAAACAATGAGCCCATATTGTCTAGCAAGAGTGATAACTCACCTCACATCGAAGCCGGTCCTCTAAAGAGCCGTTTGGCATATAAACATATATTAAACAATAAGTTTGTCCTTCTATACTGTAGCCAACAAAGTCCATTATGTTGGGATGTCTGTATCTGTGTAATAAGAAAGAACCTAATGAAAAACCGTGTTGCTTGAGATTATATTATATAACATGAAACAAGGCATTACAGTAGCTGAAGGAAGCAAAGCTTGAAAGGTTAATTTGTCAGAAAAAATGACCTAATTAAGAGACAAAAGGATGACAACTAACCACAAAACAATTTTGGAGGGTGTGCTGGAGACTTTCATTTTTGGGTCATGAAGAGGTGTGGTGCATAAAGAGCAATCGAAATTTCAAGCGAGTAAGTCCCATTCTGCGCTTCTGTTGAACAAACATAAATGAATCACAGCCAGCCTGAAAAAAAAGTTGATTAAAGGAATTGTTCACTCAAAAAGTTTTATCATCGGAAAAGATATGGAGAAAATTAACATTACATTATTTGCTCCCCAATGGATCCCCTGCAGTGAATGGGTGCCGTCAGAATGAGAGTCCAAACAGCTGATAAAAACATCACAATAATCCACAAGTAATCCACACCACTCCAGTCCATCAGTTAATGATTGGTGAAGTGAAAAGATGCATGTTTGTAAGAAACAAATCCATCATTAAGTAGTTCAGTGAAAAAGTCCATCCCCTGTTGTCCTCTCACATCAAAATCCAGACATATTTGTTTAGAATTGTTGACTGTTTTCACTTGGAAACGGTGCTTGATCTGTGCACATTTCTCTCCTGATTCAGACAACTTTTTCACTGGAGTAGGCAATATTATGGATAGAGGGCTTGTATTTTAGCAAGGGTTTACAAACACACATCTTTTCACTTCACAAGACATTAATTGATGGACTGGAGTGGTGTGGATTACTTGTAGATTATTGAGATGTTTTAATCATCTGTTTGGACTCTCATTCTGACGGCACCCATTCACTGCAGAGGATTCACTTGTGAGCAAGTGATGTAATGCTACATTTCTCCAAATCTGTTCTGATGAAGAAACAAACTCATCTACATCTTGGATGGCCTGAGGGTCAGTACATTTTCAGCAAATCTTGATTTTTGGGTGAACTATTCTTTTAAGACAAAACAGGAAAGACGGATATAGAGCCCGAGAACAGGAAGCATAAGCCAAAGGAACAGAGGACGGACAGACAGTTTCTTACTGTGACAGTTTTTCTACTTCCGTCCTGAAACTTTCCTTCACGACATTCCAGTCCAAATGGGAGTCCTGCTCCGAACACCCACATGAAAGAGAGAGAGAGAAAAGATGGACGCTTAGGAAACAAACTGAATGACTCATCAGAACAACCAAAATCATATTTGTTTGTTTTGTTAGTTCTGTTCTAATACTTCTTTCAGCTTCTTCACAGCAAACTCTGTGTTTCTCATCACAGCTTTATACACGTGTCCGAAACCTCCTTCTCCAATCTGCTTGCATGGGGAAAAGTTGCATGTGCATCTCTGTACTTCCTCAAACGGCCAGTTCATCGCAGTGGAGGAAAA